CTATTAAATTGGCAATTTAAAAATATATCTCTGTATTGATTTCAAAGGAGAGGGAGAGAGAGATAGATAGAAACATTAATAATGAGAGAAAATCATTGATCAGCTGCCTCCTGCACGCCCCTAGTGGGGCTCAAGCCCGCAACCTGGGCATGTGCCTTTGACCAGAATTGAACCAGGGACCCTTCATCCACAGGCCCACACTCTATCCACTGAGCCACACCAGCTAGGGCGATAGTTCCCTTTATCACTTAAAGCTTGTTGTTATCACAGGTGCACTCACATCTCTGAAGCCACATATGTCCTGACAAATATAAAACGAGTTATTTAGAGAAAGGTTTATAATGATACTAACTTGGAGAGGAAGATCACTTTGGTACTTAAAGAAAAACAGGCAGAAACCATTTATATACAGTTAAATCAGTTGTTATTAGCCATTCTTTTTAAAAACTGAACTCTCCCAGACCTGCATAACTAGATGATAAACATTTCTTCCACTAGGCAGCAAAGAGAACCCAGGCCTGTGTGCACCATTCTTCCTTCCTCTCTAACAGCGCTTGTACTTTCCGGGCTACCGAATTCAGAGGCGTCTGAGCCTAGGAGTCCAGCTGCCCCGAGGAACACCCTGTGTGTCATACATGCGAAGTGCTGGGGCAAAGTGACTAACAACGAAGGCTCCAGAGGCAATTGGGTGGCTCTGCGTTCAAATGCCAGCCCGCCCTGTGCTAGCTACTTGAGATTGATACGTTTCCTCATCTATTTTTTAAGAAATAATAATAGTGCTTAACTCACTGGGTTGTTAAAACTGAAATACTGCGTGGAGACTGAGGGTTACCGCTGCGATGCATCCTCTGCTGTTACCACGGGGGGTGCGTGGCCATGCGGGAGGGTGCGTGGCCATGCGGGAGGGTGCGTGGCCATGGGGGAGGGTGCGTGGCAGCCGTCCTCGGTTCCGAGGTCACGGGAAGAAGCCTGCCAAGGCTCTGGCATCGGCGTGTTGGGAGGAAGATGAAACAAACAAACAGGAAGCACTCAGTGCCCGTGTGCTAACGTGAGCTCTCATTCTTGCAGAGGGCCATGTCCTGCCACCGCAGCCAGCTCCTGTGGTTCCGCCGGCTCTACGTGCTCTTCTCCCGGTACCTGAGAATCAACTCTCTGCACGCCCTCTGAGCCCGGGACAAGGCGAGAAAGGACCAGGAAGCGGCCTGCTCGGGAGCTGGCCATGTCCCTGAGCCGAAGGAGAGCCCGGCGGAGGGTGGCCTCCCAGGACCCTGCTCCTCAGGGTGGCCAGCCCCTGACGGACAGAGGCCATGCAGGCTGAAGGACTGTCTAAACTTCACTTCCTCCTCTGGGAAAAAACACACAACCAAAAACAAGCCCAAGGGTAACCATAGTTACCCTGCTAGCTTCTTCCATGCTTGTGAGAAATAATATATGTGAAACCCAGCGTATGGCAGACACCGAGCCCTGCTGCGGCCATGTCAGTGACCGTGCAAGTGCCACAGGCCAATGCACAGGTGACACTGCCGCGCATTTACACCGTTTCAGAGCCGGCTCACCACACACACACACACACACACACACGAGTAATCTATACTGAATTAGTTTAACCCTAATTCCTTGATTTATCTTTGTGGCCTACGTATCAGACTTGAATCTAGGGAAAACTTGCTCTTTTTAACATCACATTCAGACAGGGGCAGCCAGGCCCCGATCGCTGTGGTGGGCAGTTTCACACAGAGACGAATATGATGTGGGCCTTGCCCTCAGCGAACTTATAATCGAACATTTCAGCTCTTAATCTTTTGGGGAAAGCAGGAAATAGGAAGAGAAAGCTGGCCTTTTTAAAACACACACACACACACACACACACACAATCACACTCAATAACCTGATGTCTTAAAATTATACTCTAAACAAAAGCATTCTGAGAGGTCAGAATCCAGCTAATGTCCCAGGGAAGTAGCCCGAGGCAGGGAAGCTCCGTTGTGGAAAGCACAGGCCCCGCAGACTAGTGAACCTGGGTGGAGGCCAAAATTACCAGCAAGGTAACCACAGAAGAGGTGCTTAACCTCTCTCTGCCTCAATTCTCTCATCTGCAAAACAGGTACAGCAATGTACTAGTACCAGCCTGAGAGGAGATGATGCCGGAGGTGCATAGAAAAGGGTCTGACACACGGCAATGCTCAGGAAGGAGGAGCTGCAAGTATTCTGAGACCTATAGAGAAAACGGACGTTAAGCAGAGGGACTCGCAGGAAACTGAGGCCTGATACAGAACAGACCTTGGGCCCAGGCCAGGTGGCTCAGTTGGTAGAAGCGTTGTCTCATACACCAAAAGGTTGTGGGTGCAGTTCCCAGTCAAGGCACTTAAAAATATGTCCTTGGGTAAAGATTTAAAAGAAAAAAGAAAATCCTGAGTATCCCCTCTGCCTGTCACAGGAAGCCCTGAATTGCTAGCCCCATAGCAGCAGGTTAGAGGCCTGCTTCTTGGGTCTCTTCACCCAAACTTGCCTCACTTTGCGGAGGGTCACCATTGTCTTGAATGCCTCCTGGGGCCAAATTCGGCTCACAGAGCTATCAGGCCCAGAAGCTGGAATTGAAGTTGCAAAACTGGCCATTACCTGTCTACTAAAAATTTGTCAGCAGCTCCTAATGGCCTTCATGTGAAAGTGACAGAAATAAGCCACTAACACTAGTTGGAGTGGTGGACACCGACCCAGCCTCCCAGACAGGGACCTGAACTGGTCTGCCCCAGGCTGGCCAATAGTGGGTGGTTCTTGACTTCACGCAGGAAAGATTTCACATTACGAGTCCAGGTGAATCTGAGAGTATGTGTGTTAAAGCTGGGGACAGTGAAGAAAGGAAGGGCCTAAGATAGAAGCAACAGCAGAAAGTCTAGGTGGGGCTGCTTTGGCTCTAAAAATGTTATAGGAAAGAAACGAGCCAGGCAGGGCTGCCCTGGTTCACTGGAAAGTCAGAGACAAGGGGGCTTGGAGGCAGTGTCGGGGTTATCTTGGGAAGAGTTGCTGCTGCCCATTGCTCCCCTGGTTGCAAGTCTGAGAGGACAGAAAGACATGGGCGTACTCCTGGGAGGGAGAGTGCACCCTGGTTCCTTCAACTTGAGGGTTTTAAAGGCTGGACATTTAGGGGAGGATCTCAATAGAATATTCATCAGTTCATGCTTATGTGCCAAAATGAGGTTTATTTTCTTATTTTCATGTCCTTGGGTGTGGTTGGCACTCATTGGATTTCTGCTGTCTCCCTGTAGGATGATTTAAGTTATTTACCCTCTGGTCGGGGAGGAATGTAAACCATTGCTCTCCAGTGTCCTGGGGCAGTGAGGGAAGGTAGGATTTTGTGATTTGCTGGATGGCTGTAAACTGCTTGGCCATTTAATTATCTGTCTCAGTTTCCCTATCCCACTTGTCCTGGCTTACTAGCCTATCTCATTAAGACCTTTTAAAATGCACATACTCTGTGGCCTCTGAAAATATTTTTAAAATAATTATAAAGGCATTGTTTATTAAAATACATCTCATTTTCAAAATGTAATAGAATCAGCTGTTAAAGTGTGTATACATTTTTTGGGACACTCTGTATACACAGACTTCCTGTCAAGATGGCATTGTAGATAAACACAGTACTCACCTCCTCCCACAACCACATCAAAATTATAACTAAACTACAGAACAGCCATCAATAAGAACTGCCTAAAATTCAGCTGAATGGAAGTCCTATGTCGAGACTAATAGAAGGAGGGGAGATGAAAAAAGGGCCGGTCCCACATCCACATGTGGTATGTAAAAATCAGGAGAGAGATTTTGGCTGCAGAGATCCCCCTGAGGAGTGAGGGGTCCCGGGCCCCCCGGCCAAGAGTTCCAGTGCCAGGTGAGAAGGCCCCATAACTTGTGGATATTAAAACCAGTGGAGACTGTGGCTGAGGAAGACAGAGGCTGCTGGAGTCCCAGGCAGTTCCCCTTAAAGGGCCTGCACATGGACTCACTTTGACTCACTCCCTCTGAGCTTCAGCACAGGGGCAGCAGCTTGAAAGGCACCAGAGACACACAGGGGAGAAACCAAATTGTCTAACATCAGGGAGAGAGCTGGAGGTAGTGCTGGCAGAGGCCACTGTTCTTTTTCTGGAACCCTCCCCAACACACACATATACACAGAGCCAGCAGGCAGGTGCTATAGCTGAGTCTCCACCATCCTGGCTCACACTGTTTGCCTACCCTGGTGATTCCCTGAGACCCCACCACACCCAACTTTCAGGCTCACCAAAGCTGTTCCCAGTGGCTTTTCCATACAAATGGCCTGTCTTGGATCATGCTTCAGATTTTCCAAACAAGCAGCATTTGGCCTCAGCAAGTCCCATAACTCTGGCTAAGTGGCCCCAGATCTAGCACTAGTATAGCCAGTCTTGGTTCAAAGCATGGCCTCTTTGGGTACCTCCAAGCCCAGCACAAGTAGCAGCCATCTACAGATTGCTTTACAGCTCATGCGAAAGGGAGAGGGAGAGAAAGAGAATAGAAACATCAATGATGAGAGAATCATTGATCAGCTGCCTTTTGCATGCCCCCTACTGGGGACCAAGGCATGTGCCCTTGACTGGAATCAATCCTGGGACCCTTCGGTCCGCAGGCCAACACTCTATCCACTAAACCAAACCGGCTAGGGCTTAAATGATTTTAAATAAATAAATAAATAATAAAAACAATCATGGAAGCTCAAGCCCTGGGTCCAGATGCAAAGGGGTGCTTCTCATCAGTGGCCAAATCAGTAATCTGCAACATCACAAAGAAGCTATGTCTTAACACAAAGAGGGGGAAAGAGCTGAGAAATGCAAACCATGGTGGAAAATGGATTTGAAAAACACATTGAGAAGACCTAACATGTGAATAGCGGGCATTACAGAATTTACAGATAGGAAAAATAAAGAAACCTGAGTCAGCGCTTCGGAAGGGTGCACCATATCCTAGCCAGCGTTGGTGTTTTTGAAAAGATGCACAAGCATGCTGGCAAAATTCCTAAATGTCAAGTGGGGGAGGGAGATAAAAGTATTGCAGAGGTCTCCTCTGGGTTCGAGGGGGAAGCTGGGGAGAAGTATCATGGTGCAGGACAACGAGTTGCGGACAAACACGGCTCCGTCTGGATTGTTAGGACCTGCAGCTCTGGAAAGTGTAGCATACAAATTAACTAAGGGGGCAACAGGAAATGCAGAGAAACGTAAAAGCCTGCAAAAGTAAGGATGAAAAGAGGAAACAAAGTATGAAATGTAATATGAGAATGATATGAAAATAATACAATCAGATATCAGTTACTTCAAACTAAAATGAGGGAGCTAATTTCCCTACCAAAACAGACTATCAAATTGAGTTATGTTTATAGCAATCTATTTTAAGTTGATGGTCACTAAGTTCAAACACATTCTGTCCTGGCCTGCATTGCTCAGTGGGTAGAGCATTGCTCCACAGACCCAAGGTTTGCAGGTTCAATTCCAGTCAAGGGCACATAACTGGCTTGTAGATTCCCCGCCCTGACTGGGGCTCTTGCAGGAGGTAATCAATTGATGTGGCTCTCTCACATTGATGTTTCTCTCTCCCCCACCTCCTCCTTCCTTCTACTCTCTCTAAATCAATTGAAAAAATATCCTCCAGTGAGGATTAACAAACAAAAAAAATTCAAGCACATTTTAAAGTCACCATCATTTTTTTATATTGATTTCAGAGAGGAAGAGAGAGGGAGATAGAAACATCAATGATGAGAATCATTGAGTGGCTGCCTTCTGCACACCCCCTCTTGGGGATCGAGCCCAAACCCAGGCATGTGCCCTTGACCAGAATCAAACCCAGGACCCTTCAGTCCACAGGCCAACGCTCTATCCACTAAGCCAAACCAGCTAGGGCAAATCACCACCATTCTTACCCCCTCACATTTTAATTTTTTTTGTCATTATTTTTTACTTCATGTATGTATGTGTTTCTGTGTCCCTTCAGTCCACAGGCCAACGCTCTATCCACTAAGCCAAACCAGCTAGGGCAAGTCACCACCATTCTTACCCCCTCACATTTGAATTTTTTTGGTCATTATTTTTTACTTCATGTATGTATGTGTTTCTGTGTATCCCTTAATTTACTATTATAATTACACATGATGATCCTATTTTTGCATTTTAACCTTTTTACTAGTTTTAGTTTTGGTTGGTCCACTGCTTTTAAAGTTTGTTTTTTAAAATTTATCTTCGAGGGAGGGAGAGAAACATCAATGTGAGATATTTTTTAAATTATAGACTTTAAAAAAATTTAATGTTTTTATTGATTTTAGAGAGAGTGTAAGAGAGAGAGAGAAATATTGATGTGAAAGAGAAACATCCATCGGTTGCCTCCTGCACATACCCCAACCAGGGATGAAACCCGAAACCTGAGTATGTGACCTGCCCAAGGATCGAACTGGCAACCTTTCAGTGCATGGGATGATACTCAACCAACTAAACAACACTGGCCAGGGGGCAATTGTTTATTTAGACAATATATACTATAAACATAATTTTTATATGCACTGGGAA